GCAGCCCTGGACGCAGCCAGGAACCTCTTGGGCTCCTACCACACTGCTGTGGCGGCCACCAAGAAGCAGATCCCGGTGTCACCCCTGCAAGGGTCCCAGCAGCACCCCAATGCCAAGGGACAGCCCACCTTCGGCTTCACCGTGCAGTGGCAGTTTGCAGGTACAGCATTACCCAGCACGGCATCCTGGGGCAGCCAGAAATCCCCTGCCCATGCTGGAATCGGGATTGCCCCCCGGCTGGTCCTCCATAGCCCCCTGTGGCACCAAGACAAACCCTGGCTGTGGCCACAGACCGGCCACATGCACTAGCTCCTGCCATGGGACGTGGCGGGGGGAGGGCTGTCTGTCTGGGGCGGGTGGCAGGGGTGTGTGTCTGTCTGGAAGAGGTGGCACGGGTGTCCATCTGTCTGTCCAGGTGACACAGCAGGGGTGGTGCCCATCTATCCGTCCAGGTGATGTGTAAGCCTTCCGTTGGGGCAATGTGGTTGGGAGGTCCATCTGTCTGTGCAGGGCATGTGGTGGGGGGCATCTCTGTGTCTGTTTGTCTGCCAGGATCATGTGGCCCAGGTTCCTCTGTCTGGAGGCACCAGCTCAGAGCCCCCTCTGTCCTACTTAAACCCTACCAGACTCCACCACTGCCTTTGTGGGCCAGTGCTTTGTGGACCGCCGAGGGAAGGAGACACTGGAGACTATGTGGCTCCTGCGGGAAGAGGTCCCATCCCGCAGGGACACCTGGAAAGCCACGAGGTGATCTCTGACTCTGCCCTCCCACCCCACAGCCCTGCCTCCTCTCCTGCTGATACAGATTCCCTGCAGGGTTGGCACTTCCGTCTTCACCCACGTCAAGTGATGGAGACGGGGACCAGAGCTGCCTGCATCCTGCTGGTCCCGCCTGCATCCCTGAGGCTCTCTGCTGCCCTGGTCCTGGGCTGGGCTCCTGCCTGCTCACAGCATCCTGGCTGGGAAACACACCCTTGCCCCACCCTGCTTTTTCCCAGTGCTTCCCAATGCCTCCCAGCAGCCTGCTGGCAGGTCTCCCCCTTCTCAAAGCTTGCTGTCCTGTCATCATGCCTGCCCCCACCATGGAGTCAAATAAACCTTTCTCTGCCTGGCAGAGAGCCATGTCCCGTGTGCCCCTGGGGTGCAAGAAGCTACTCTGTGGCCGTGGGCAGGGAGAGGTGGGGGCCAGGGGTTGACTCGGGGAGGGCAGGGTGGTGTTTTGGGGGACTGGGAGGGAAAGGACTGGGGGACAAGGGGAGGGCAGCAGCTGGTAATCCTGCTTCCCAGCCACAGCTTCAGCCCTCGGCAGGTGCCTCCTTGCCCGTGCAACCATTTGGGGCACCCACAGGGGCCC